TTTCTAACCCCACCCCTCCTTGTGGGAAGGCAGCATCGCTGTCATGCCGGTTGTCTGAAGGAAACACCTTACTGCTGTCACACCTCTGTACAGTCAGCAGTACGACTTCGCCTTCGGACCTTGGGTTTGTTGCTTTTAGTCTTACCGCTCTTCAACCGACCTGTCTGACATGGTAGGACCTTGAGGAACGGTTGTTCCAGCCAGTATAGCTCGGTTGCTTCATCACGATAGGCAAGCCCGACCACCACGTCAAGGTAGCAACAACGGTCGGGAAGCTACTGGTATTCGACAACAGACGTCTTGGAAATATCGCTTGTATATGCTGCGATCACCGAGTAAGTAATAGTGAGGTTAGACGCAGGGTATTAGAAAATAATTAATCAGTTGATGAGTTTGTGAATCTTCATCGACTGAGATGGTTAGGTCACTTGTTGCGTATGCCTGAACACCGCTTATCATGGCATGCAATGCTAACAGGTGTTGGGGGTGGTTGAAGAAAGTTAGGGGCGGCCAAACCAAAACGTGGTATCAGTGCTTGAAGTCACTAACTTCTAGTCTGATCCATGTTGGTAGATGCAGACTACTTGGTTGGGGTGTGCGTGTTTATCGTAACCAATGGTTAGAGACTCTGAGTGACATCGCTCAGAATCGATCACAATGGCGTAGGTGTGCCATCCTGTTGAAAAAAACCTTTGTAAGAGACGCTAACCACAAAAAATCATTTTAACTCTTCATACTCTGCCCTGAGGATCAAAGAGTCTTCATAGAAGTTATGATGCCTCACAGTGAAAGCCGAGATTCATCATGAGGCTGGTACCCTTTCTGACGACGATACATGGAATGTCTGGAAAATATAGGAGACCGGAAGCACCATTTAAATAACTGCGGAAGTGATAAATTGTAGTCTGTCAGTACCTGGAATGAGGGAAACCCATTGGATGCAATCTAGACAGAAAAAAACTAGCGTAAGGAGAGGTGTTATTGTACTCTAGTTATGAAGCAGAAAATGCTTCGCAAACACAAGTATTTGCACCGATGTACTCCAAAGAAGCACGAAGACCGCCTGTAGGCTGGGAACTTCATGAATCTAGGATCACCAAAGCACCATTCAGAACACAGGCAGTGACCTACAATGAATTCCATCCAGTGCTACTAGCACGCCAATCATAGGAGTAAGGATTGATCGTGCACCGACCGAACTGCGACATTATAGATCATTGTTGAGAAGTCGGTTGAATGGAACTCATCACCATACATCAAATTCCTTGACAGCGTGAATAGGAGAACCTTGTTGAATCTTCGACACTATGGAGTAACTGAGAAAACCGTCACCATCATACGGAACTCTTAAGACGGACTTCATTGCAAAGTCGTGCATAGAAGACTGATGACAGACACATTCCTAGTAAAGACCGGAGTCAGACAAGGCTGCTTACTCTCCCCCTTTCTCTTTCTTCTGGTTGTCGACTGGATTATGAAGATCGTCGAATCTGAGGGGAAGCACAGAGTACTGTGGACAGCTTACATGCAACCAGACCATTTAGACTTCACAGACGATCTAGCTCTTCCTCCCATACACACCAACAAATGCAGATGAAGACAACCAATGTAGCAGCAGCCTCAACATACAGAATGTAAAACCAATATACTCAAATACAACACGGGGAACACCAACCTAATCACACCTGATGGAGAAACTTTGTAAGAGCTGGGAGCTTTAACATACCTGATCAGCATCATTGATAAACAAGGTGGATGTAATGCAGGGGTGAAAGCACAGATTTACAAAGCAAGGTCAGCACTCCTACAACTGAAGAATATCTAGGACTCATAACAATTGTCAGCCAACATTAAAGTCAAACTTTGCAATACAGATGTTAAGACGGTTTGTTATACGGAGCTCAGTCAGTCAGTAAGAACGTAGAACTACATACGTTCGTACATCAGTTCGAGTCGCCATACCACATTAGCACACAGATACAATTGTCGATTCAAATCCCATTGTGGTAAAGGTAGTAAGAGTATAGGCAGTAATTGGAAAGATTAGCATTTGAAGATTTTATTCAATGAGTATAATCCAGTGAAATAAATTTAGAAAGAAAACAAGGGACATGAAGAATTCAGAAGATTAGAATTTGGGAGAACACAAGGAGTGGATGCACTTGCACCATTGCAAACAATTTTGAGCCATGTCATCCAGGGTCTCTAACCATCGGTCGCCATCATCTCGCGGTTCCCAACCAGGTAGTCTACATATACCAACATGGCTCGGTCCACTTGTCAGTGACTTCATGGATTTGTACCATGCTTTGGTCTGGCCGCCCCTAGCTTTTTTCCAACCTGCTCCTACACGATGAAACATCGCACGTCAAGGCAGTTGGTGGTTGGGCATACGTAACATGTCCCAGCCATCTCAACTGATGAAGTTTCACCACTTCATCAATCGATTTGCCATCCTTACCTAGTACTCGTTTCCTAGCCAATCAGCGTGCACCAAAGCAATCATGCATTGAGCATGCTTTAATCTAGTCTATGTCCCGCTAACAGGGCCTTACCACCGTAGACGAAAATCCGTGAGGTAAGGTGAGGTGTGACATTTTTACGGTCGACCTTTTGTGACCCCTTTCTTCCTTGTGAGAAGGCAGCATCGCTGCGGATGCTGGTTGCCCGAGGGAAACACTATTGCTGTCACACCCCTCTACAGTCAGCAGTACAACTTTGCCCTCAGACCTTGAGTTGCTGCTTTTAGTCTTACCGTTCTCCAATCGACCTGCCTGGTATGGTAGAACCTGCAGGAACATATGTTCCAGCCAATATAGCTCGGTTGGGTCATCACGATAGGCAAGCCCGACCACCGCGTCAAGGTAGCAGCTACGTTCGGGGTTATACGGAGCTAAAACTTGGGGAACTACCACAACTTGGAGTCTCAAAGGCAAAAGGAAAAGAGGGAAACCAAAGGGAAAACACATGGGGCTGGAAACCCTAGACAGACATCAGAATGAATAGTACTTGGCAACAACTGGAAAGGAGAACCCAGGACAAAGTTGTGTTAGTGATTCCTGATCAGTAGACTATCCTCTGAGAGGGGTAAGAGGGGTTACAAGAAGAAGAAACAGATAGGTAGATGTGGGCTATTCGTTACGGTAGTCATCAGATAGTCTTTACAGATTGGTTTCGACCATAGGTAGTTTAATTATTTTTATTTATTTGATGAACATAAATGCAGTACAATCGAGCACCAAAAATACAATTCGAATAGTGTTAATATTATTAAGATAAGGAAGACCTTGAATTACGAAAGCTCATTGCATTAATGTGAAGACTATGATGAAAAAACGACATATTGGACCCCAACCTATAGAATGGTAATAGACCGATAGATGCTAGTCTTGAACGACAACTAGCATGATCCATGTATGTCAATCTTTCAGGGATGTTGGCACTTCCCACGCATTTGAATATCAAAACTATTCTTGATCAAAATGGAATTAAATTTGTTTTTCCATTGTTATTGTTTTTAAGCACACATTTATAACGGAATAAATCTCGTGAACTTGCTGCAGTAGATAAGCCTGTAACATCGATGGATAGTATAGTTTAGTCGGACTTTCGTATTTTCAAAAAACGATGTATAAAACCTCACATTAGCCGCACGACTCCATCAAACATTTCAGTCTTATCAAAATTTTCCCAAATGGATTCGATGGTAAAGCCATTGGTAGTACAAGAAATTTTGTTTATTATAATTCCTGACCAATATAAAGCAAAGGGACAAGTCTCTTAACCTTTTTCATATGCTCCAGCACAAATGTTTACGATTATTCCAAGCGCTTTATAAAATGATTGGCAAACTGCTTTTAGACCTCCAACAACAGAAACGAGTCACTTTAGATGAGAAGCATCCAAACTTCGATTGAGCTAGTTGAATTCACAGTTCTTGTGTCTTCGTCATAACGACTTACTACAGGCAGATTAGACCACCGCCACCAAATTAGCATATTACCGGTTAGATATGTAAGTTTTTAACCACAAATTCTTATCTAATTTACTGAACATCGGTTACTTCGAAGAATCATTACTCAGCTATACTCCTAGCACCAATCTTATTGATGAGCAACATAGACACTTTACTTTCTTAATTTGAATAAATTTCCCCAAACGAAGTTTTCATTTTCATCTCACCTAAGTAAACAAATGTTCTTAGTAGATATCGAGTAAAAGTTATACTGAGATTACTATAATCTACAGCTGCATTTTCAGTATGATCTGGTGATAAGTGAATAAGTCAAAGTATATGAAAACGCGCTTCAACTTGCAGTCCAGTGGTGGAAAACCCAGTACTTATGTTATTATTGAGCTTTTAGGTATCACTAGCAAGTTTGGACTTAATAGGTTTAAATAGATTGAAAGTTGGGTGGAAATCTAGTAATGATTATATTTTTTGTGATATCCCAATGAGTGGAAATTTGCATTTTTGACGTTTCGTGACCTAATGTAAGTCGCTTCTTCAGAGTGAGTAAATTAAAGTTGATAACCGACTAAATAACAATCCTTTATATTTTCAAAAGCTTATAAACCTCATTATTTTTATTGTTTTCCTACCTGTGAAAATCAATTTCATTGAGGCTTTAGTATTCCTATAAATGGCCTTAAGTATCTTTAGGACTGTTGTTAGAGATTATAAGAGAAGTACTTTCTATGTCCTTGACTATATCTAAAATCTGCCTAAACGTTTGATTTTTCCCTTTATTGGACTCCATTGGAGGGCTAAACAGAGTTCCCTTGTTCTTGTAAACTACAGGTTAGTTGCTGTCTTTTTGGATAACTGAGATACTAATTCTTTCATAGCAAGTAAGTAGGAGTTGAATCTTTTTCTTTACCTTGCTCTAATGAACAAATTATTTATTTGTTCTTTCTTAATTTTATTCTCAAAAAAGCTTTACAATACACGATACATGGTTCAAAATATTTCGGTTCTGTAATTTGTTTTTTAATTTAAGGCAACATTTTTGACCGATACAGATCAGCAATCAGCACGTAATGCTTCTTCTGTATACACACCAGCCATGGTTTATCCTTGCAGTAATACAAAGTCGGAATCGCTTCCTAACAACACGGAGTATTCATCTGTGGAAAATGTCCCAGCCAAGTGTGTACCAGTGATTCCCCCTATCATTTCTGATAATAATAACACAGTCTCCAAAAAATCGAAGTGGATTTGTACTCATTGTTCTTTGAGTTTTACACGTCCAAGTCACTTGGTAGATCATTTGCGTATTCACACCGGTGAAAGACCTTACAAGTGTATTTTATGTGGACGTCAATTCACTCAAGCTTCTAACCTTCGCCGACATCTCTCAAGTCACAGAGCCTGGCCACCAGTGTCATTTGTAACTGCTGCTGCATCCAATGGGCACCAAAATTCTGAAATAGTTCCAAAAAATACTGAAGTAAGTGTATTTTTGTAAGATTACGCTGCATTTTGTTTTTCTGAATAAGATCTTCAGTGGTATCTATGTAACCAGACTTTCGAATTTCTCAAGTTATTTGTCTTACTTTTCATTCTAGCCTCTTTTCTAATTTTATCTATGCGAAGTTTTACTATTTCACTGTTACTCAGATAATCAGAATCCTCATTACTTCGTCTCATTTGTTTTTTCCACCAGTGAATTTAAATTCTCTTGTTCAAAGTTGTTGAATTATTTCTTACCAATTGGTAACTGAGTAAGTAGCATAAGCAAACTGAAGTGAGAGCAAAACAAAATAGACTTTTTGTGTGTAGTTTCTTTATAAAGATTATAAACAACCATGGTATATTCATAAATCTCTTGGCTATCTTCATTATTTCGTGAGATGTTTTGCTAATATATTCTCACCACATCATTGTGAATGTGAATAGCTCCTCTCATGACCCATTCACTAACGTCTGATTCAACGTGATTTGATATTTTTTTAAGATAACGGTAGACATCAGATATCTTATTCCGTCGGATTTATGATAATTTCCTACATGTTACGCTAGTTTTGTTCAGGCATGTACTTATTACAGTGGATTTATTAACATTAAAGAAATTGAATATGTGCCCCCAAACGCCCTGGTATGGCCGAGAGCGGGGTGGGTTCGCCCTTCCTCTCGAAATACTCTCACACGACCGCGCGTATACAGCCTCTGCCAGGGAAGTCCTACTCACTGCCTTCTCGTGGCGGGGGTGTTGTTTACGAAAATGAGAGGACGAAAAGCGAATGTCCGGCGCTTTAACCGGATTCCAAACCAATGGTGCATATGGGCACCAGTATCCTGCGGGAACAAATGGCGTATGAACCAATCGTCGGTCACCGGCTACCATGGGACTGCATCTCCTTACGATGCTCCACTGCCTTGTGGGCTAGACCTTTAGGTCAAAGGCTCGGGGTGTGGCCCCCTAAGAGAACCACCTGCTTCGGTCTGGGCACCCGGGCAGTAACGCAGCCCACACGCAATTAATGAACTGAAATTGTGTGGCGCATATATGTTTGGCGCACTCCTGTACCAATATATATGTGTTCAAATAAAATAAATAATTGAATAGGTGTTAACATGTACAGGTCTCTAAATGCATTTTGCGACGACCGCAGATACAGTTTATCCGTTACAGACATTAAATTTACGTGTATGATTTAAGGGTTTAATATGAACTAATCTTTACTAATGGGTTTTGGTTTTCTATCTACTATAGGTGGTACCTAACTCTACTTCATGTCGCCATGTTTCTCCTAAAATTTGGATCTGTCGGTTTTGTGATCAACGATTTGAAACATACATACAACTTCGGGCTCATATTGTACATCATAAAGACAAGCAGGTAATTTTAGTTTAGACGACCGTATATATAGGTATTCTTGTCGAGATTGTTAGTTTGGAATTGTTTGTTGTTAATATTTTCTCAAATTTACCCTCAACACTGAATCTTTTCTTGATTGGAAAATGTCATTTTTAGTTCACGTTTTTCCCTCGTTCCCGCTTCCGTTAGTAATATGACAACACTGGCACATAAATTTCTTGATAATGTATTATCTTAAATTTGATTGTTCTGGATTAATAAGACTCTAGACGAGTTGTGTGTTAGGTTCGATTGTGGTGTAATAGTCTAAGAAATATAGCGTCAACTTTAGGTTCATACTTTGAAAGGCGAATTGATACCCTCGGATCTGGACTCCATATTATCATTGTTCTACCTTACATATTGAGTACCTGATCCTCTTATTCATAGATAAGTTTCAGAAATTTTTGTTTGACTCATTATATGATAGAGTTATAATAAAATTTATGTACTCAAGATTTATATTTGTGTTACGTAATTGGTGTATTCAACCGCTTTGGGATTTCCAAATGATTTTTATTTTTCAGGTTTATGCATGTGTATTTTCTGATTGCAACTCCTCTTTTTCATCACCAAACAGTTTATTAAATCATTTGTTAGAAAAACACCGAGTTAACAGGAGTGACAAACTTGCATGTCAGACTTGCGACCAAAACTTTCACGGTAATTTCGATTTTATTCTTATGATGAATTTTATTATATTCGTTCTTATTCTTTTTTTTTCGTTCGTTCTGTATCATTCCTGTAGTTAGTGGCTTGCGCTCCGAAGTTTCCGGGGTTCTCCTGTTAGTATGTCAGTTACCGATAATTTCGTATTGGTAGTGTAGTACTTGACCCATTAACTCGATATTACACTTCATAGCAATAAGGTTACTGTGATAGAGGTTAAGTGTTGCACGGGATTACAGCGTACCTTTTTCTGAGGAAATCGTAAAAGGGTTTTGGTGTTATGCATCATTTTTGAGAACGTTGTTTGTTAATTAAAGAAATATTGAATGTTATATTGGTGCGGAGGCAACTTCGTAGTTAAAGCACGAAGCTTTCACTCAGTAGATCACAGATTCAAACTCTGGTCTATTTGTCTCACTTCAGATGTCCGGGTAGCATCACTGGCTCTCGCAAACAGTGTGGATCAAAGCTGAGTAATATAAAACTGTACATGATAAACGAGTCACGTTATGGTATGATATTCTGTACAATACCAAAGGACTTCATACTCTTGTTTCGAATATCCGTGTGCTAAGCTAATATCCATGAGTATTTTGATAAACACTTGTGTTAACGTTTTTGAATGTTCTGACGTAAACTTAGGTTATGACTATTTAAATTGTAGATTTCTCTTAAATCAGATTACTAATCAATAACTGTTTATTCAACAAACTAGTAGTCTGATAGTTAGCAGTATTGTACCTCCATTCTAGTGTAACTTTGTCGTTGACGTGCTTTTAGAGATAACACTCTCCTCATCTAAATTTCCAGGGGTTGAACTTCTACCGGGAGATTCACTTTTTGAACTAGAATATGCCGATGACATTGTTTTATTTGGTGAAGACGCTGACAAAATGCAGTCTTCTGACGTATGCACGACCACCGACTACCCCGACGTGCGATGTTTTGTGGTGTGGAAGTAGGTTGGAAGAAAGCTAGGGGCGTCCAAACCAAAACATGGTACAAATCCATGAAGTCACTGACAAGTGGACTGAGCCATGTTGGTATGTGTAGACTACCTGGTTGGGAACCGCGAGATGATGGCGACCGATGGTTAGAGACCCTGGATGACATGGCTCAAAATTGTTTGCAATGGTGCAAGTGCATCCACTCCTTGTGTTCTCCCAAATTCTAATCTTCTGAATTCTTCATGTCCCTTGTTTTCTTTCTAAATTTATTTCACTGGATTATACTCATTGAATAAAATCTTCAAATGCTAATCTTTCCAATTACTGCCTATACTCTTACTACCTTTACCACAATGGGATTTGAATCGACAATTGTATCTGTGTGCTAATGTGGTATGGCGACTCGAACTGATGTACGAACGTATGTAGTTCTACGTTGTTACGGATTGACCATAGAGTTAACAATATTTTGTTTTTTAAATCTAGAATTATTTTAATGCACAGCGTTTTTAATTTACAAAAATTTCATGCTATAGTAGAAATTCAAACTGAGAGTTTGTATTAAATGTAAACATCACTGTTCAACATCATTGAAAAACTGTTGTAAAATGTGTTGTTTTATCCTGCCACGTTTCAATCTGTACTGTTAAATGGTTTTTATTGTGAAAAGACACCACTTACTATGAATCGGCTATTAAATAGATTCAGAAGACATGAATATAGTATATACTGTATGTATATACAGTATGTATATTGATATACTGACTGATTGCTAGAGCTTCTAAACATACACCAATATAACCTCCAACTAAACCCTCTCATGTAAGTAATTTAAACCCATTATGTAATTATGATTTTAAATATCACAGGTTGTAAGCAGCTGATGAGAACCAACGAAATAAGACAAATTCATGCTATTCTGCTAGAATGTTTGTTCTCGCTCTTTTCAAAATGATAAAGGGAACTATGTGTATGACACAGCAATGTTAGAAAATCTTAGTGGTTTGATTGCCCGGTTCTTAAATTACCAAACCAATCGTTTTTAAATATTCTTTAATAAAAACTTCAAAAACGTCATCAATAAACAAGATAACTTTCTCTTTTTTTATTAAAAAAAATGAAGATTTCTTGCATCTTGTTAGACACTTGTTGCCTCGACGTAATGGATCTAACTCCGGTTGTCCTATGCTGTATATTAGATCAAGAAAAAAGGAAAGTAAATTGGTGAAGAGAAATCGTAAATTTATTTCACACCATAGGTCTACTAATGCACAGGATGTAGAACGAAGTTCAAAGTCGTCAGCTGAATACTCCAGTACTGCTAATTATTTGGATCCGACATTCCGTATACTTCCTTTACAAAGTTTCAAAAAAGATAATTCACTATTTGGTTTCAAGTAAGAATATATTGTACAACTGATTTTATAGTTTCGAAATTTTTTTTCGCTAACTCAGAATGAGTATGGAATGGAAATTTAGCTACATCCGTGCGCATCTATATTGGCGCTCTCTTGTACCAATATTTATGTGTTCAAATAAATAATAAATAACATCTGTGCGCGCCTGATTCAAGGGTGTTCCGTAACCGTAATGCTTTACTGATATGACCCTTTAAATTGTTTCTGGTTGTTTTTCATGATATATCCAATATTTAGAGTTATTTGGTATCATGTATGCAATTTCCATGTTTACACAACTGGGACGTTAATTTACCTTGGACGAATATCTACACTAGATTCCCTCCCAGTGTCTATTCTACAGGACTTCAACACAACTCAGATCAAGAACGTAAATATATTTCCACATCAAAAACCGACAACAATCCGACAAAATACTACAATCGACAATCAGTCAACAATAATAATAAGGATAGGAGAATATGGAACTCATCTAACGCCTGTCAGACTATCTACAATTTTGATTAAGCAAACAACCAATCATTATCATTCTCACCCACACACCAGTTTGCTTTAAACCAGAAAAATTGATCCTATACTGGTTTGAAATTATAATCATCCCTCCAATCCATTTGTTAAAGCTTATTAAGAATGCTGATTGAACATTGAATGTATTATTGATAAGAATTCTGTCACAAGTGTAGGAATTATGTCACTCTCCCCTAGAATTCTGAATCTATCAATGACGACCACTGGTCTCAATCCACGGCGACAAATGTCTTCGTAAGTGGTTGAAGACATTTGGCACGGAACTCTGGATCTAACTGCCCATAGTCTTTACATCACGGTAATTGATTCTCTTCTAGATATTTGAAACTGTTTTGTCTACTGATGTCGAAAACTTCACTGAGCTTTTCAGAGTGCAGTACTGAGTCACTTAATATGAAGATAACATTGGACATCTTTAAAATTGTCTGAACATAGCTGCAGCAGACGCTCACCATTGTCTGTTCGCTGTGTCGGAATACTAAAATATCCACCTAAATGCCTTTCTGTGCGGTTTAAACTGCCTATCTGAGCATTAAAATCACCTGCTACGAGTACTATGTCTGAGCGTTTAGCTTTCTGAAGACGTTCGGACAGCTTTCTGTAAAATTCATCTTTCACATCATCTGAGCTGCAGTCAGTGGGAGCGTAGGCAGAAACGACGAAAAGGCAACGACGTGTGTCCCTATCCTTCCGAGTTCTTACGTAGCCGTTCAGCCGAACAGCACATAGACGACTGTTGACGGGGATCCACTCTAGCAGTGCTTGTTCGGCCCTCATGCTTAGTGCTATGCCTACACCTGCCAGTCCACGAGAACTTGCCATCGGGTCACCAGATACACGAAGGGTGTACCTCGTCGGCTCTCCGTTTTGCCGAGGTGAGGTCAGGTGAATGACCACACTGGAATCCTGTATGCGTGTTTCGGAGACACAGCACACGTCAATGGTAAGAGACTCTAGGGTTTTAGCCAAGGAAGCCTGCTGACCAATTTGACATAGGGTTCGTACGTTGAAGGCTCCAATGTGTAGTTTGGAGCGAGGTTTCAGTAGACCTGGGACAGTATTTTGCGCACTAGAATCGTTGGCTATGGTGACACTTGAGGTGGAAGCCGAGAGAGGAAATTTAAAGTTGAAAGTCGATGTAGGAGGAATAATAGGAATTGAAGAGGAAGGTTGATTATGAATACAGTGGTCTTGAGTGCTGTTAGAGGTATGAGGGCGGTTTTCACTTCCCGGTTGCCCACACCGTGGAAGGGTTGTTCTGGAGGTACCTGAAAAGGAATTTGGATTAAAGGTGGTCTTAGTGACCTGAGAGCGTGACCGCAGTGCCCAAGGGACAGCTGCTTGAGGTCGGTCACACACGACCTTGTTATGGGTAATTTTTGTGTTAGCTCCGTACTTATTGGGACCTTACCGCCGGAGACGGATATCCGTGGGATAAGGCGAGGTGTGCATTCTTAGGGTCGACCTTTTCTAACCCCACCCCTCCTTGTGGGAAGGCAGCATCGCTGTCATGCCGGTTGTCTGAAGGAAACACCTTACTGCTGTCACACCTCTGTACAGTCAGCAGTACGACTTCGCCTTCGGACCTTGGGTTTGTTGCTTTTAGTCTTACCGCTCTTCAACCGACCTGTCTGACATGGTAGGACCTTGAGGAATGGTTGTTCCAGCCAGTATAGCTCGGTTGCTTCATCACGATAGGCAAGCCCGACCACCACGTCAAGGTAGCAACAACGGTCGGGAAGCTACTGGTATTCGACAACAGACGTCTTGGAAATATCGCTTGTATATGCTGCGATCACCGAGTAAGTAATAGTGAGGTTAGACGCAGGGTATTAGAAAATAATTAATCAGTTGATGAGTTTGTGAATCTTCATCGACTGAGATGGTTAGGTCACTTGTTGCGTATGCCTGAACACCGCTTATCATGGCATGCAATGCTAACAGGTGTTGGGGGTGGTTGAAGAAAGTTAGGGGCGGCCAAACCAAAACGTGGTATCAGTGCTTGAAGTCACTAACTTCTAGTCTGATCCATGTTGGTAGATGCAGACTACTTGGTTGGGGTGTGCGTGTTTATCGTAACCAATGGTTAGAGACTCTGAGTGACATCGCTCAGAATCGATCACAATGGCGTAGGTGTGCCATCCTGTTGAAAAAAACCTTTGTAAGAGACGCTAACCACAAAAAATCATTTTAACTCTTCATACTCTGCCCTGAGGATCAAAGAGTCTTCATAGAAGTTATGATGCCTCACAGTGAAAGCCGAGATTCATCATGAGGCTGGTACCCTTTCTGACGACGATACATGGAATGTCTGGAAAATATAGGAGACCGGAAGCACCATTTAAATAACTGCGGAAGTGATAAATTGTAGTCTGTCAGTACCTGGAATGAGGGAAACCCATTGGATGCAATCTAGACAGAAAAAAACTAGCGTAAGGAGAGGTGTTATTGTACTCTAGTTATGAAGCAGAAAATGCTTCGCAAACACAAGTATTTGCACCGATGTACTCCAAAGAAGCACGAAGACCGCCTGTAGGCTGGGAACTTCATGAATCTAGGATCACCAAAGCACCATTCAGAACACAGGCAGTGACCTACAATGAATTCCATCCAGTGCTACTAGCACGCCAATCATAGGAGTAAGGATTGATCGTGCACCGACCGAACTGCGACATTATAGATCATTGTTGAGAAGTCGGTTGAATGGAACTCATCACCATACATCAAATTCCTTGACAGCGTGAATAGGAGAACCTTGTTGAATCTTCGACACTATGGAGTAACTGAGAAAACCGTCACCATCATACGGAACTCTTAAGACGGACTTCATTGCAAAGTCGTGCATAGAAGACTGATGACAGACACATTCCTAGTAAAGACCGGAGTCAGACAAGGCTGCTTACTCTCCCCCTTTCTCTTTCTTCTGGTTGTCGACTGGATTATGAAGATCGTCGAATCTGAGGGGAAGCACAGAGTACTGTGGACAGCTTACATGCAACCAGACCATTTAGACTTCACAGACGATCTAGCTCTTCCTCCCATACACACCAACAAATGCAGATGAAGACAACCAATGTAGCAGCAGCCTCAACATACAGAATGTAAAACCAATATACTCAAATACAACACGGGGAACACCAACCTAATCACACCTGATGGAGAAACTTTGTAAGAGCTGGGAGCTTTAACATACCTGATCAGCATCATTGATAAACAAGGTGGATGTAATGCAGGGGTGAAAGCACAGATTTACAAAGCAAGGTCAGCACTCCTACAACTGAAGAATATCTAGGACTCATAACAATTGTCAGCCAACATTAAAGTCAAACTTTGCAATACAGATGTTAAGACGGTTTGTTATACGGAGCTCAGTCAGTCAGTAAGAACGTAGAACTACATACGTTCGTACATCAGTTCGAGTCGCCATACCACATTAGCACACAGATACAATTGTCGATTCAAATCCCATTGTGGTAAAGGTAGTAAGAGTATAGGCAGTAATTGGAAAGATTAGCATTTGAAGATTTTATTCAATGAGTATAATCCAGTGAAATAAATTTAGAAAGAAAACAAGGGACATGAAGAATTCAGAAGATTAGAATTTGGGAGAACACAAGGAGTGGATGCACTTGCACCATTGCAAACAATTTTGAGCCATGTCATCCAGGGTCTCTAACCATCGGTCGCCATCATCTCGCGGTTCCCAACCAGGTAGTCTACATATACCAACATGGCTCGGTCCACTTGTCAGTGACTTCATGGATTTGTACCATGCTTTGGTCTGGCCGCCCCTAGCTTTTTTCCAACCTGCTCCTACACGATGAAACATCGCACGTCAAGGCAGTTGGTGGTTGGGCATACGTAACATGTCCCAGCCATCTCAACTGATGAAGTTTCACCACTTCATCAATCGATTTGCCATCCTTACCTAGTACTCGTTTCCTAACAACTGTGTTACTTACTCGATGGCCCCAGGATATACGAGCAATGTTTCGACGACATCTACGATCGAATACTAGTAACCTACGAATATCCTCTTCTCTTACCGGCCACGTTTCACTGCCATAAAGTAGGACGGAACGAACTGCTGCGCAGTAAACACGTCCTTTGTTTGATGGACGGATATCTCGCCAACGCCATAAATGACGCAAGTTGGCAAAAGCTAGTCGAGCCTTCTGTATCCGTGCTGAGATTTCGTCACACACTAGACCTCAAAGGCTGATGAGACTCCCAAGATAAATGAAGTGGTTGACACG